TCATTCCCGATAGCCCGTTTTACGCAAATAGGATGACGTTAATTTCTCCCTCTAATATACTTTTACGCTTTTTTTGTGTACGACTGTACATGATATTATCACAAATGTCAGAATACAACAATATCAAAATAAGATACCTTTATTCAAATAATTGGACACAGATAGTTTATTGATAGCAGAAATCAGAAGACTATTCGAATATCACAATATTTATTATAGCATGATATACATATTATGGGTAGTGAGGAAATATGAATGAACAAAAATGAATATGAAGACCTAATAACAATGTTATGTTGATTACCATTACGACGAGTCGAGAGTAGCACCAGACCAGATAACTTATTGGAACCCTCACATCCAGTTTATTATAGCTTTGCATGTTTCTCATGAGATTTTCTTGATCATTATTCAGAAGTTCGAACGTGATTCGAACATCACATGATTAGAAATTTTTTACTCGAGACGCTATTGAAAGTATTGACATTTCAGTATTGACGTATCGCAGATGTACCTATAGGTACATGATTTTCAACCAGTCAGATGTGAAGTTCACAAAAACTATTTTTTCTTCTGAATAATTTCCATTAGAAAGCTGAGTAGACGCCTACAATCAAATTGCACCAAAATAAAGCTATTTGAGTAAACAAACTTTCATAATATTGCTTCTATAGAGGTAGAGGTTTTTAGGTTGACAATAATGCGATTTGTTCCCATTGTAGACATTTCGAATTCATTCATGACTTATTTAAAAAAAATTATTTGAATTAATTCACGAATTAAATCACTGTTTTAATTCATATGCATTAATTCGTGCCAATCCCGTAATGTCACAATATTTTATTGATCAAAAATTCATGAAACCGTTTGAAATATAATTGGAAAAAACTGCATTCGAAGACCTTCCTCTAAAGGCTCGTAAGTTTCAAAATATTCGTGTTCTCGAAAAAAATTCCGGATATTAATTGAAGCTAAAGTGGTATTCGGTAAGAAAATTTCACACTGAAATATTATTGAAAAATTTCTTGGATAATGACGATTTTTGATGTTTTGTAAATTTCGAATTTGCAAGTATACCTATATATAATATTATATGGTAAACTGTTGAAAAATGATTATTTTTATTTATTGACTTATAGAATGAACTCGAAATAATCTGAAGTTGAATGTGAATGTCATTTAACCTATAAACGTCAAAAAATTTCCAGTGTAATTTCATGCTCCGCCCCCCAAGGAAGAGGAAAAAATTTCCAAGAAATTTGTTTAGTTACTATGGTAACGATACGAAATACTGGCTTTGAATTGATCGAAAATGTTCATTTTCAGACATAATTATGTTGATTCCGATTTTTCATTTATTTGTATCTGTAGAATTACCTCCCGAAGTGTACGAATGTTATTCTGGGCCACCCTGTACAAGAAGTTCAAAATTTAAAAAAATACATATTTTTGTCAGTGGTATTGATTCAAAAAAGATGTAGATGCAACTATTGCATTTTAAAATTTGTTCTTTTATAGATTCAAATGGAAAACAATTCAAAAAGTTCTTTACCATCGACGATCCCAAATACGAAAGTCTGGAGGGGTGCAAGTTTATTGGTTACAAAGAATACGTCTTTATGTACGGTGGAGAATACTTGATAGGTCGAGGAAAGTGGAACTACAATTTGTGGGTTTTCGATACCATAAGAGAAAGATGGGAAAGGAAATGCGTGTTGCCATATCCGAGACGACATTTCGATACCTGCATTGTTGGCACTAAATTGTTCATAACAGGTGAATATAACCCATTTGAGTTTACTTTTTCCATAGAGAATTTACCATATTGGAAAAAGTTTGATATTTTGTGCTATTAGAACTCGGTAGAAAAGTCGGCGACCTTTCACTTTTTTATAGATACTTCCTTGGGAAATGTTATAGGAATTTTCTTTCGTGCGTTCCAAGAGATAAAAAAACTGATATCAAATTGAGTGTAATTTTTTGTCGAAGGCATTGTCGCTTGAAAATGTCAAATACAGTGTGACCCATTTGAAAGCGGGTCACCCCTGTATTACACGTAATCGTTGGGTAAGGATCATGAAATTTGCTGGAGCGAGAGATATACCAAAAATGCACTCTATGACCAAGTGGGGTCATCTTCAGTGATATACACTGCTCGCCAACAGCCATGGAACCACCCCAATTTCCGGAGAATTATATTAGGAGTCAAAATAGGTTGAAAATCACTTCGGATTCGGAATCAGGACTCCTAATATCATTTTCAGGAAATTGGGGTGGTTCCATGGCTGTTGGCGAGCAGTGTATATCACTGAAGATGACCCCACTTGGTTATTGAGTGCATTTTTGGTATATATCTCGCTCCAGCAAATTTCATGATCCTTACCCAACGATTACGTGAGATACAGGGGTGACCCGCTTTCAAATGGGTCACACTGTATAATTAATAATAATAATAATGATAAATGAACTTTATACACAAAAAGCCATCGACCGAGTTCCTTTAGCCACAATACAAATTTCATATACAGAGTGATTCATTGAGAATGGCAAATATCTGAACTACAGATAGTAAATACAAATATAATGAGATTTAGCCCAATATGACTGATGAGAATGTTGCTGGTTTAGGTGATACAGGGTATTCTAGGGGGAGATTTTATTTCAAAATTTCACAATAAAAAATCACGTGAGATCAAAAGTGCATCCCAAAACCTTGGTTTTCTGTTTTGGGCCAGGAGCTATTTCACTTCCAGTCAGCTGCTTATGATCTATAAGGCACAGATTCGACCTGTCCTGGAATACTGTTCCCATATTTTGAGTGCAGCATCCAAACATACCCTGAAACAGTTGGATTCTGTCCAAAAAAGGGTAATTCGTCTCGTGGGTGATGCCTAGCTCACAAACTCACTCACTTCTCTGGAACATCGAAGAAAAGTTGGCGATCTGGCTCTATTTTATAGATATTTTCATGGACACTGCTCTTCTGAAATATCAACAATTGTTCCTCCCTTGGCATTCCCCGCGAGATTAACCTGTCGAGTTGAGGCTTCGCACCAATTCCTACCTCATTTCCCTTGGTTCTCACAATGTTCTCTGAACATTACAATATATCCCTTTACATGGGAACCAGAACATAAGAAAAAAAGTTTGAAATACGAAAGGTCGAAGATGACTGTTTTTATTTTCGATAGAAAAACAATTATTCTAGCTCTCGAAAATATGGTCAGTTTTGATGTATTTCAATATCAGAAATATCTCTATTGAACTACAAAAACACAAAAGCAAGCCGAATGTGTTGTCAATATGTCGGGCGAAGAGCGAATGCCACGACATTCAATCACGTGACATGCAGGCGTCTTATTCACTATTCTAACTCAATGAGTGATTGTTTAGTCGTATCTCATTTCATTTTCAGGGGGTACTGGTACTTTCAGAGTTACCCAAGAAAACACGTTCTGGTACGATTTCAAAAATGACAAATGGAGCACACAACTACGACTACCTTTCTTCGACAGACAATTGAAGTGCTGCTGCTTTTCTAACAAATACTTCATATTGAGTATCAGTAATAAATGTGGCTATTTTTTGATAGATGAAGATTTTGGCAATTGGATGAAAATGCCTCTCAACGTAGATGATAGCCTCTTGAAAAATCAATCCGATTTCGGGCTTTTTACCTATGAAGATAAATTCTACGTGAAGGGTAGGTATACATATAGGTGTGTACATGAGATTCAATTTGAAGAATTATTAATTTGGCTTTCGTCACTGCTGCAATATTCCTTTGAATGCAACAGCTTGTATATTTTTGAACTTGGTAGTTGATACAAAATTTAATTTCGACGAAAACTGTTCCTTTATTTGTATTTATCCGATTGTGATCGACTTTTTTCAAACTGAGAAGCATGAAGAATTGTACTATTAGGAAAATGTGTGAAAAATCTTACTAGCGTTTTTTTATGAAGAAAAACTAAATGCACCACTACACTAGCGCCTCCCCAAATAAGGCGGGTGTATACAGGGTGTATCGAAATAACACCAAAAATATTCAAGGGGTGATTCCTTGTCATATTTTAGGAAATAATGTTCATATAAACATGTGTCCTAACTTTCGTTTTCGAGATATTGGGTGTTAATATTTCCATGGAAAATCTTTTTTCTAATCATTTCTCAATAGTCTTTTCATAATTTTCAATAAAAAGTTGTGGTTTTGTTTATAGTAATATGGAGCTGCTTCTAGTGCCATTAGATTCGAAATAATTATTCCAGTGACGTCACATTGAGTAAATTTATCGATATACATGGTGTGAATTTCATTGTAAACCACCGGTTTTTCTGAGTTTAATATTTTTATTAGATTGAACTATTGAAATAACTACTTTTTTATCCTCTTTGTGATTTTTGTATCTAGCTTAGGTTTTGAGGAAACAATGAAACTTCGATTTGACTCCATTCAATGTAGTTATTTTCAAGACTTCCATTATTGAGATCACTCAATAACCCAATTGGAAACATTTTCTCAGTCTCCATCCATGCTGAATTTTGGCACCATGGAAGCTTATACAGAAGGGTTCAAAATTAAAACAATTAATACTTCCAACTTCAACATCCTGTATCTCAAAAACGGAGCCAGTTAGGACACATGTTCATATGAACTTTATTTGTTAGAATGTCACAAGGAAACGCACCTTGAATTTTTTCGGTGTTATTTAGATACACCTTGTATAATTTGTGGATTGGAATTATATGCTGCAGAATTGCTATTTTCAACAAACAAATCGTTGTTTTAATTACATATCTGAACGGATCTGATTTTTTCACTGCTCCCCCTGGGGAGCACTGGTGTGTTTTTTTTATGAAATTTTGCGGACTGGGTATTTTTTCAAGTCAAATCATCCCAATCTCCTCAAAAATCGATTTATCTTATGAAAATACACGTTGAAAAGTTTTTTAAACTTTTCCATAGCCCCCCTGGGGAGCACTTTATTACTCGTGTGGTTTTTAATAAAATCTTGCAGACTGGGTATTTTTGCGAGTCAAATCATCTAAATTTTCTCAAGAATCGATAAACCTTATGAAAATACAGGATGAAGAGTTTTCAAAATTTTTCACTGGCCCCCCTGGAAAACACATTACTCGTGTGATTTCTCATAAAATCTTGCGGACTAGGTATTTGTGCAAGTCAAATCATCTCAATTCATCGTGTATTTTATGAAATGAATGAAATTTTGAGAACATTGAGATGATTTGATCTGCAAAAAGTGCTCCCCAAGGTGGCAGTGAAAAAAATCAGAAACTTCCAATCGTGTAGTTCCATGTGCTGAATCCAGATATGCAATAAAAACAATGATCTGTTTGCTGGAAATAGCCAGCCCGCAGTATTTTATTCCAGTCCACAAATTATTCACACCCTCACACAAAATTGGTTTTCATTTGAAAACAAAATTGTAATTTCCTTACCAATTTGAAATCGGTTTTCACCGATTAGCCTAATGTCTTGACAGTTTGTTGTGACATTATGAAACTTCTGTAATTTCAGATAACATTTCTACAGGGTGATAATTGAATGGGTGTAAAATTGCATCGTGGTCGTCACCTTACCGTTCGAACAGATATTTTTTTTATTTTTTTTCTCACCACCACCATGAAAAGTTACTGTATTTATGCATTTCACAATTTTCGACAATGACCGACCTCTATATTCCTTTTTCGGAACATAGCGAGTTTCATCATGTTTAAACATATTCTTCTTCATCCCGTGACAATCTGGACGTTTTTTATCGCATATATCAATCATCAAGAATAAATATAAATTTCATGCTCCTGGAACTACAATCGTAATTTTTTTAATTTTATGATTTATCTTGACGAAAATGCAGCATTTTGATTGAAAATGCGTACCTTCATTATATGACCTTCGATCCGAGAAATTACAAAACTACTTCGAGGTCAAACACCAGACATCGTCATGACGAAGTAACATTATTTCCATAGTAACATAGAAAATTATGTTTCATCTACTGAACACTAAGTTATTCTCCATTCCATCATTCAGTATTTCTTGTATCACTTTGTATAGACTTCTTCAGAATTTTCTGGCTTCGAGCACAATCATCTATGCGACGACTATACATACAACGTTGATTCTTTGAAAAAAAATTCCAACTTACAATTTTCAATTAATTGTCGAAAAAATGCATCATTCTGAATGAATATTCATAACACGATTATCAAAGTTCTGAATTTGATAATTCCGAAAACGTTCCGAGAGGAAGCATCAATCAAGAGGATACAGGCGAGAAAAAAAAATATAAATTATCTGTTCGAACGGTAAGGTGACGACCACGATGCAATTTTACACCCATTCAAGTATCACCCTGTAGCAATGTTATCTGAAATTACAGAAGTTTTATATTGCTACAACAAACGGTCAAGAGATAAGGCCTATCATCGGTGAAAACAGATTTCAAATTGGTAAGGAAATTCGTGACCACGACGTTATCAATGTTGACCAGTTTATAATTATTGCATATGTTTCGCTACTCCCGGAATATAAGAAAAAAAATCTGTAACACCCTGTATACTACCTTCTCTTTGTTTTCTTGTTTCGAACTCATAATTATAATTCAATATGATGAGTAAATATACCCGTTGTACATATTTCAGGAAAGGATTTGATAGAGTTCACTTCCACCGGAGACAAAATAACAGTTTCATCTGTTAAAAACATAACCAACAAAGACTGTGATAAAATGGAGATTACTGTTTGCGATGATACCGTTTATACCCTTTACGAGTACAGATTGGACAACAAAGAAACATTTTCCTTGGAAAGGTACCATATGAAAACGGGGCGAATTGATTTCATCTTCCAAGATATTGACAATGATAGCATAATTGAAGCTGATGGTGAGCAATTCAAGTTCAGCAAAACGTTGAAATTGTTCTCATTCAACCACTATTCTCTAGTGGATACCAATGAAGTGATAAACGATTCTTTCAATGTATAAATGAACAGTGAACAGATTAGTTGCCCATTAAAATTAGCCCATAAAATAACTGTACCTAGAAGTAATTCCTGGAAAGCTGGAATTCATTGTTATCATTTTTGTTGAATAAAGGGATTTGATTTTTGCTTGCAACAAAATATTGCTCCCGATTTATCGTCATTAATTATATCATAGTATCATACAACACCCCACACTATTTATCGCTTCAATTTCGAATTTACCTCATACCAGGTGACAGACCCCCTTTTTCTCATTGGCTTTTCTAGTTATATTTCTGAAATTGGGAACATCGAATATGTTCACTTAGAGGGCACTTTCTGACAGATTAGTATTTTTTCATCTTCCGGTTTTCCTGGCAATGACATCAACAATGGAACAGCCTATATTTCATTTCATAATTGGTTAGATATTATTATAAAGAATTCAACGATACTGGCTTTAATAGGGTTATTTTAAACGATTACGAAGATATATGTGTAGTAGGACAAATCAGATGGTTTGCCACAAAATGTCACTGCGTTCAACAAATGTTTCTATATCAGGGAGCCTAAAAGAAAAATCCATTATAGCTTGTCAGTGACACTTTGTTTGGAAAAAAGTTTGAAGAGAAGAAATATAGATATATTGAAAAAATATCGAATTTTTACTTATCTTTGGACGTTTCGGAAACGAATCTACTCCCGTTCTCAACATAAAATAGCAAAATATTTTTCTTCGAAAATTCTATTCTAGTTTGTCACTTCTCAGTGTAATACCGATGTTTGGCATAATCATTGGTCAGATATTCTTCCATTCCCACTCGTAAAGCAAGTTTGTCAAATCACCAATTATTAAAATCGAGTTATTAAAAAGTTTTAAGAGGTCTATCGTTGAATAAAACTACATCTAAATGACATATTTCATTTTCGAGCAACCAGCTAGAGACTTGGTAATGCTGTGCTGGATGCTGGTAGCTGACAAGACAACGCCCACAATCCTGTGTTGTCACGTTTACCGGTCTAAATGTCCTCTTGTGTGAATTAATATAATTATTATTACTTTACCCAAACTCATCATAATTCATAAGCAATATTACACAACATAATATAAAGAGGGACTATTTTGAGACAATGGATTTTTTGTAGATAATTAAGGATATTACTTATACATAATTGAGATTTTATGAATTTTCGAATAAAAAATATTTCTGAAGTTTCCATTCGCATTTCAACATATACAGGGTGTTTCGAAATTCGACCGACAACGCTTCACAGGAGGTAGCTCTCGTGATTTGGTGAATAATGAGGTAGGAACATAAGGGTCCCACGTGATTAGTTATCGAGTTACAGGGTGTTGAAGTTGGGAAATAAAAATAATTTATTCGCAATAACTCAAAAACGGCTGATCTTTTTTCATTCAAACTCGAAAAGTGAATCAATATTGAGGAACTTCAATTCCAGACAAAAAATTCATAATCAACAATTCATCCAGTGGCGCCGTTAAGGGATATGATTCATTGATTTTGCAAAAAAAAATGTGTTGTGATATGAATTTTCGAAATTTCATGTGGTATTATTGAAGGCCATTTAATTTTGATTGAAAAAGGCTCACTTAATTGAACTCGATAGAACCCACCATTTCCGAGAAAAAACGAAAAATGTGATTAGTCCTCAAATTTTTTTACTCAAAATCGTTCAACATGAAACAACAAAAATATCAACCCGAAATTATAGTAACTGTTCGAAGTTCTGGCCATTGACTTGTTGACACATTGTGCAACGTCTGCTCATCGCAAAACGCATCCAAGGAAATAGTTTATGCTTAGTTATAAGTTCCGTTGCAGCCTCGTTTCCTGCTACGAATTCCTTTTCAGTTTCAACGTTTCAACGATGATGTCTTATAACTAGGATTTTTTTATTTATCCAACAAAAAATCAATCGGATTCAGATCAGGTGACCTAGGGGGCCATACTTTGGACCTCAAGTATGGTACATGTCCAATCCATTTTCTCCAAAATGGTCACTTAGTAACGCTCTTGCACCTCTGTCAAAATAGGCACCGGCATCATCATGTTGAAACCACATGTTCCTGCTGATATTTAGCGGAACATTTTCCAATGGTTCTGGAAGAACTTTTTGTAGGATCTCCTGTAGATTGATCCATTTATTGCATTAGGTATAATGTATGAACTAACCAGGTAATTTTCAGAATACCAGCAGACAAATTGATTGAAAATTTGGTCTAGATCCAGAAGGAAAATTTGGTCTAGATCTAGATGGAAAATTTCATGTCAGTTCTTTTTATTTTATATGTGACTGTTTCCATTGAAAATTCCTGCCATGGTGAATTTCTGAATTTTGCTTCATCGGTGTATGATACTCAGGGAAACTAGCGAGTCCACCACACATTTAGCTGAAGCAATTCTAATATTTTATTTTCACATAATAGTCTTCCAATGCCTGTACTCTTGTGAAATTTTTTACCACTGACATCACATGATCCTTAAACTCCTCATTTTAGGATCGCATTTCTCCTTCTAGTAGTCATTTTCACAATTATAGGGAAACACTTGATCAATATTTATTTATTCATTCATTTTGATAGATGTCAAAAGCTGTCTCAAATTAAACTGAGTTTTATTTGCAAAGATCATAAAGACATAACATTTCGTTTCAAATTCTTGGATTTTTCTACTGGTTATGGATTTTACCAACGAAGAAATGACTGATATGTTATTATTATATGGAGAAGCGAGAAGAAACGGTAGAATGGCATTACGTCTATACGAAGAAAGATTTCCTAATCGTAGAGTACCTCACCATTCTACTTTTGCCAGCATAGAAAGGAGAATTCGTGAAACAGGCAGATTAAGTGTCCGAAGAAATAATGCAGGAAGGCGTAGAACCACAAGAACAGTTAGATTAGAGGAAGAAATATTGAACGAGGTTTCGGAGAGGCCATCGTTGAGTACCAGAACCATAGGTCGAGCATTGAATGTGAGCAATTCCATTGTGTGGAGAGTACTGCGAGAACAAATGCTACAGCCATATAAACTCACCAGAGTACAAGCATTGGAACCGAGAGACTATCCCACGAGAGTGGAATTTTGCAATTGGTTCAACGAAATGTGTCGTGAAGACGTAAATTTCCCTGAGTATGTTCTATACACTGACGAAGCGAAATTCACCAGAGAAGGAATTTTCAATACAAGGAACAGTCACGTATGGAATGACGTGAATCCACACGAAATTCGTCAACGTGGGTTCCAGACCAAATTTTCCATCAATTTGTAGGCCGGTATTGTCGGAAATTGTCTGATTGGTCCATATATTTTACCCAATAAATTAAATGGATCAATTTACAGACGTTTCCTACAAGAAGTTCTTCCAGAATTGTTGGAAAATGTGCCGCTGGTCATCAGAAGGAACATGTGGTTCCAACATGATGGTGCGCCTGCACATTTTGACAGAAGTGCAAGAGCTTTACTCAGTGAAAGATTTGGTGACCAATGGATTGGACGTGGTGGTCCTCACGTATGGCCCCCTAGGTCACCAGATCTGAATCCGATCGATTTTTTTCTTTGGGGTCATATGAAATCCTTAGTGTACGACACCATTGTAGAAACTGAGGAGGAACTTATTGCAAGAATACAGGCTGCAACGGAAATCATAAATACTAACCGTGAGATATTTTCAAATACGCGTTTTGCGATGAGAAGACGTTGCACAATGTGTCAACAAGTCAATGGCCAGAACTTCGAACAGTTACTATAATTTTGGGTTGATATTTTTGTTATTTCATGTTGAACGATTTTGAGTAAAAAAATTTGAAGACTAATCACATTTTTCGTTTTTTCTCGGAAATGGTGGGTTCTATCGAGTTCAATCAAGTGAGCCTTTTTCAATCAAAATTAAATGGCCTTCAATAATACCACATGAAATTTCGAAAATTCATATCACAACACATTTTTTTTTGCAAAATCAATGAATCATATCCCTTAACGGCGCCACTGGATGAATTGTTGATTATGAATTTTTTGTCTGGAATTGAAGTTCCTCAATATTGATTCACTTTTCGAGTTTGAATGAAAAAAGATCAGCCGTTTTTGAGTTATTGCGAATAAATTATTTTTATTTCCCAACTTCAACACCCTGTAACTCGATAACTAATCACGTGGGACCCTTATGTTCCTACCTCATTATTCACCAAATCACGAGAGCTACCTCCTGTGAAGCGTTGTCGGTCGAATTTCGAAACACCCTGTATATCCCGTTATTGCTTTGAGACTAATTTTGCTGAGTGTCTTCGATCTTGCTCGGTTGAAATTTCCGAGATCTTTGGACAGCCGCAGTCCTGAAAGTCTTCGCCAGTATGTTGCTCTCATTGCTTCTTCAGCTTTATTAAGTTTTTCTTGGAAATAAGAATGGGGGAGACCACTGATTTTTTAAAATGACATTATCGTGTACTCTATACTAAAATACTACCAGCGAATTAATTTTGAATTTTATCATTCATGCTAAGACGATGAAAACAATAAATTAGGATATATCCATTTCAGAGCACACAATTCCTGCGCCATTTGAAATTTTGTCAATTCATTGGTGTGAATGTTGCGACGTCTTAGTCCCAACACGCCTATTGTCCTTGAACTGACCAATGACACTGCAATACTGCAGAATGACGAGGTATCAGAGAGAGATAGCTACAGGTTGGGACTAATACGTCACGGCTCCACCATCATATTTGGCTGTTTGAAATATCGAATGAAATATGCTGATTTCAAAACGATATAGATTTGATTCCCTTCAACTTCAACTCATAATATTGATTGTACATCAAACGTAACTCATGATTCGTCGATTAAAAGAGGTTTGCACGGATTTCTTCTCTCAGTGGTCTTCCCCATTGCCAAGGCAGCAGAATGGTTCTGGTTCGATCAGTGGCGTTGATGCTCTCTTTCGTGCCAGGATGTCTGCTTGTTCGTTTCCCTCCACTCCGATGTGTCCCGGCTCCCAGAAGAG